CCTACTTTTTAATTTGCGAGACTCATTTATTTTTTCATTGTGATGTCCTTTCGAAAATGGTGTGTCTCTATTAAAATGAATTTAAGTGGTGAACATTTTCGTTTAATGATTATTTATGATTTTCATTGTAGCTTAAGTCAATAAGACGGTGCCAGAGACTTGAATTGGCATTTGGTGTTGAAGCACCATGTCGTAGCTCTATGTATTCGTGGTTTGGTTTGTTCTCCATGACGGGAACAAACCATACCAGTACGTGAAGGTCGGCAAGCGACTGCAGTTACAGACTCTAATATTGACACCGTACGACAGCTTATTGAAAATTACAAAAAAAATACTTGCCAGAAAAATCGTGTTTTTTTAGGCATTGGAATGAGCCAAGTGCAAAACATTTTACATGTGCATCTGAAGGTTCGAAAACTTTGCACTCGATGGATACCGCATGACTTAAAGGAGGACCACAAACGACTGCGTGTCCAGTGGTGCCGTAAAATGATAATAAAGTTTAACGGAAGACAGTCATTGGCTATCTATAATATCGTGATAGGTGACGAAACCTGGGTGTACTGCTTTGAACCCGAAAGAAAAAGCAAGTCGGCAGAGTGGGTCTTTCCTTTTGAAGATTTGCCGACGAAAGTTAAGAAAAGTCGAAACATTGGTAAAAAAGAGTTTGCTTCTTTTTTCGGCCATCCAGGTGCTTTGAAGGCTTGAAGATCAAAAGACAGTGACTGCAGATTAGTATGTCAACACTTGCTTCTTCAACAGTCTTAGAAAAAGTTCGGGAAAAGCGTCTTCGAAGCCTCCTCCTTCACCACGATAATGTATCCTCACATTCCGCTAAGGTAACAGAAGCCTATTTGAAGGCTTCAAATGTGGAACTGATGACGCATCCGCCTTATAGCCCGGACCTCGCACCCTACGACTTCTTTTTGTTTCCAAAAATTAAAGACAAACTTAAAGGCACACGTTTTATGTGTGCGAATCGGATGTGAATGCGGTCCATGAAGCCATTGAAATAAAGCAGGTTGGACCCGTCTTCCTTAGGGACCCCTCAGGAAGACGGATCCAACTGCTTTGTACAGTCGTTTCAGCGAATGGAAAAATGCATTAGTTGCGAGGGAATATACTTTGAAAAACAATAAATGTATCGTAAGTCTTATATCTAGTCTTATTTATCAGAATCCAGAAACCTTCAGTATGCCCTAAGTATGTATAGATTTTGATGGAATGGTTAGTGATTGTTAAACCAGAGGTCGTGAGTTCGACTCCCACCTAGGACAATTAATTGTGTGGTGAGCACGAGGATTCGTTCTGTGTCTGGGGATAAAATTATGTTTAATATGTATGTATTTTGATATTTATAGATATGTTTATTAATAGTCTGTTTACTATAGCGCAGACTCGGGCTTATTAGGAAGTTATTGTTATTATTATGTATATATTTTTTTTGTTGACGCAGTGGAAAAATCCCTTAGGATCTTCGACTTCTCGGGGACGCAGGAGACAGAGTACGTGTGTTTTTCCACTAAAAACCACCCCGACAGCCGGTCTCTCCCAGAGCAGAGCGCAGAGCGCAGGCGCAGGCGCTCTGCTTTGGGGAGGACCAAGACCATGTTATTTCAGGGTACCCCCTCCCCGGATCAACTCCGCACCTAGCCAACCCCTATCCCGGGGAAAGGGAGGCTAACGGCCTAAGCAATGAGTTTTGTCGCCCGATGTGAGTGTTTTGCGATCGGGCCGCCATCCTATCGCCTGGCTGCCAGAGAAGTTACCACCAGACCTCTGGTTACCACCAGAGGTCCCCACTCTTTGGCAGCCTGCGGCACCGTCGACGGCTGATACCGCCGCCGTCGTCCTCTACGCTCGGTATCGGCCGTTTCCCGATAACGTACAGCGGTCTCTTTCTGGAGCATTACAGCTTCACAGAAAGAGACATTATTATGTTTACCTAACGAAATTATAAAAACACTAATACAACATTTCAAAATCTACCTTACGTGTTAATCGACAGTCAATTTCATGGGTACAACATCACGATTCCTTTTTTGTGCCACCTTTTGTTTAAAAATGAGCATCACTATGTCGAACTATACTCGTAGACTATAGTCCATCAACGTCAGCCGCGACCAACCTGCGGGGTGACAGACGGTGGCGGGGGCACATCCTCGGGCGGGGGGCGAAATCCGCTCTCCGCCCGGGAGTCAGCCACTCGCCGATAAACTTCGGCGAGCACTTCCGCCTCCAAATCCCACGGGGGAGTTGCGGCCAACGCGCACGCCACCTCCGTCGACACGGTGCGGTAACCGCGTATGGCTCTGACCGCCATTACCCTCTGAGGGCGCCAGAGGCGTGCCCTATTCTGGGCGGTCAGAGCCGCTGCCCACACCGGTGCACCGTATAGTGCCATTGACCGGACAACCCCCTTGTACAGCCGTCTTGTCGCGACGCTGGGTCCACCCAAATTGGGCAAAAGTCGCCCTAGGGCAGACGCAGCGCCGACCAGCTTTGGAGCAAGCTGTCGGAAGTGCTCGTCGAAGAGCCACCTCCCGTCGAGGATCAGGCCCAGATATTTCATCTGGGCCCGAACCGGTACGAGGACCGAGTTGACCACGATTGAGGCCCCAGGGGGTGGACCACGACGGGGCCCATGAAATAACAGGGCCTCCGTCTTATCTAGGGCCACCCGTAAGCCCAGCGCCTCAATGTGCCCGACCACCAGGGAGACTTCCCTTGTGGCCAGGCGCGCCGCCTCTTGGAAGTTTGCCCCCGGGCTGTCACCAGGGTATCGTCTGCGTAACAGATTACACCCAGCCCGGGGGGGAAATCGGCGCGAAGCACCCAGTCGTAGCCGATGTTCCACAAGAGTGGCCCTAACACCGACCCCTGCGGAACACCGCACGACATGGTGTTGGTCATGGCCATGGTGTGGTGTTGGCGGTGTCCTTGGACATCGCCAACACCACACCATGGCCCCACTTCACTCCGGGAGACTGCTTCCTCCGCCAGAGCCTTCACGCGCACGATCGCATCCACGGTGGAGCGCCCATGACGGAAACCGTACTGGTTGTCCGCCAGATCCGGCCGGTTGGGCTGCTCATGCATGCATCATCACGAGATGCTTGACGAGGCGCCTTGCAATCACTCTTTCAAAGAGCTTGCACACCTCGTCAAGCAACACTATGGGCCGGTAGGCGGACGGTGAGTCCGCCGGGCGCCCCTCCTTTCGGATGAGAACCAGTTTCCCCGTCCTCCACAATTTCGGAAACTGGACCCGCTCGAGGCATGCGCTGGGACGTAGTCTCCCTGTCAACCGTCGGCATATCGTAATCCCGAGAAGAGCGCTGTGGTCAAGTCTCGCGGCTCTGATCGGGGGCGAGGGTCTTGGCTTAACCGCCCGGACCGCGAGGAAGCGCGAGGAAAAAAAGGGTTTGTTTCAAGTTTTCCTTCTCCTTGCAGTGCTGTTGTCCTGCGTAGTTTGTTCCCTTAGTCGTCTCTTACGACACCCATGGGACGAATAGGGAGGGTAAAGTTTAAGAGTTCTAAACCTCTCCCGGTCCCGTTTCGCCATCTGCTTTGCAAGCATAACTTGCTCGCAAAAGGAGACGGCGGAGTTCCACGCAGTCTCACTCTGTACCATGGCGGCAATCATGTTACCGAGTGAGAGAATTCCTACCCCGATAGCCGCCACGAGGCAACTCTGCTCAACAACAACCTCTGCTCCACCCACGCCGGGCATTCCGCATGCATGTGAAGCGCTGTGTCCACGGTCCGGCCATCGCAGTGATGGCACTCAGGCGTTTTCTCCTTGCGTATCAGATACAGGTGATCTAAGAAGCATCCTTTCCCGGTGATCACCTGCGTCAACTGGGAGGGTTCCGTGATGCCTCTTGAGCTAATCCTCCATAACGGGTCTTAACTGCGTGCCCAGCGCTCGGTTGCCCAAGTCGTTTCTTCCACTCCTCCACGAGGACCTGGCGGAGTTGAAATTACTGATCCAAGATTTCTCGAGACTCAGGACACCGAGCCAACTCCCGCGCCTCCTTGCGTCACTGATACAGAGCCGCAAGGGCCCTCGCCTGAGACTCGCCGCCTCAAAGGAGATCGTGCGGACTCGCTGCGGTCGTCGCAGTAGTGCGACGTTACTGGCCTTCAAGATCTCCGCCCATACTGGGTTCTCATAAAGGGCAATGGACCGCACAACCCCCGGGTAGAGTCTCCTGCAAGAGTCATTGGGGGGGACCCAATGACTTATGCAGGAGACTGCAAGGGCACGCGCTGCTACAACCAACTTGGGGACCAGACCACGAAAATGGTGTCCGAACTCCCATCGGCTATCAAGTACGAGCCCCAGATACCTCATCGAGGGCTCGGTGCCGATGCGAGTGCCTGCTACTATAAGGCTGGATCCCTCAGGTGGCTTCCTCCGAGGCCCGTGAAAGAACAAGGCCTCGGATTTGTGCAGAGTCACTTTAAGACCCAGCCGCTGCACGACTCGGGCAACCCAGGCCGTGGCTCTCAGGGTGTTTAGTGTACCCCACAAAAACAGTATACGACTTCAAAATTTATAATGTCTGCAGCAGTTTCTTCTTTTTAAGTGTAATCAGAAATATTAAGGCTGAAGGAAATAGTAGCAGTTCTCTTAATACAGATGTCATTCCTTATGTAATAAACTTTAGTTAACGTGAAATTATGACAAAGTTGTACAATTAAATGAGCTAGTGTCATCTATTTCAAATTCACCTCAAGCGACTTTCATTTCTTATTTGATTATGTACATTTGAACCACGAAGTCCATTAAGGGTTTAATGTCTGTCGGCAGCAAGTGCTCTCATGCAGGACAAAAAATAAAAGACTCAATTACATTCACATTGTTTTAGATCTGTTTAAAAACATAGAAGTGCTGTGCCTATAAGGTAGTTCTTCAACAAAATGGTTTGAATCGTCATAAAATGTAATATATATACGTCATTCAATGTAATATATTTGTAGTTTTATTCGCTTGCTCATGAACGAAAAACTCCGTTGAAGAGAATATTGTCGTTTTGCATTAAGTAAAAGACGAACGGATGATCAGCATCGAAGGACTGATAAAGAGGTGTTGCCCCGACGGAATCAGGAAAACTTAAACCGAACTCTGGAACAATTAATTTTTGTGTATTGTAGACAAATTTTAGTTTAGTCCTAGTCTCCTACACAAGGTTCAAATTCTAAGATTGTAGCTAACGTGAAGTTTCAAATTTATACAAATTATTAGTGCTTTCAGATATTATTAAGTTTGCTAAAATATTAGGTTGTAAAGTTTGACTTTACCCGTCTCTGAAAATAAGTAGTCGACCAACAAGTTGACCTTTTAAGATCAAATTATTTGCACTTACTATTGGCTGCAGCTGCTTCAGTTCCCTTTTCGTCCACTTCTATGAAAGCCTTTTGAATAGCGTCACTCACATACAGGTTTGATTCGCCTTCTATAAGGTTGTCAAGATGAGCTCCTCTTTCCACAAATAACTGCTTAATGTTGATCTAAAAAAATTTCACGTATATTTTTAATTAACCTATGAAATTGCCATTTTGTATGCAATAAGTGAAAGTACTTATTTTTTCAAATTTGTTTATTTCTGATATTCGAAATAATCACCTATGCAATAGACGCATCTTTGCCAACGTATTGGCAGTTTATTGATGCCCCTCTTGTAAAAATCAGCTGGACGGGGGGCAACAAACTCTTCAAAGGCATTTTGTACTGCCTCTCGGGAATTGAATTTTTTACCCACTAAAAAGTTGTCTAAATTTTGGAAAAAGTAATAGTCGGTAGGTGCAAGGTCTGGTGGGTATGGCGGATGAGGGAGAGCTTCCAACCCCAGCTCTTGCAGCTTGGAGACTGTCTGTTGCGCAGTATGGGGTCGCGCGTTGTCGTGAAGGAGCAGTGGGGACGACCGATTGACCAAAGCTGGTTGCTTGGTACTAGTTATTGTTTATTTTAAGGTCTACTACTTATAGTTTGTTTGTAATCGTGATTCTGACAATATTACTTAATTTTTAAAGCTATTTATTGAGTTATGAGACATCTTTCACTTGCTGGCTTAAGCTTGCCACAAGAATGTAGGTCTAGTGTGTAACTTCTCGCCAACAAAAGGCAAGCTTTTTTCTTATACAGAGAAATAACATAAACGATGATGTCGACGAATTTTATATAGTTTGCATGTTTTTTTTTAAATGGTATATTCAATAATGAATATGAATACTTATTGCATATTTTAGAAGTATTACACAACAGAGTGCATGATACTTACTTTTTGGAGAACATCTTTGAGATTAGTCGTAGTTTCAATTTTGAACTTGGGTAGAGAAACGTGAACATCTACTGTATACATATTACTCCTTGCCTTCGGGAATACTGCTGGATCTTTAAGTTTTTCGATTAGCGACTCAATACTATCATTTTGTTTTGGAAGTACGATGACAAAGGATGTTTCACCCCCTTCATATGACATTTCAAGGAGCTGAAACATATTATTTGTAGACAAATAGATACAGATAGACAGTGCATAAAAATTATTTTACCTATTAGTCTGCAATGTGCAATGAATAAATACAATAAGAAATGAATATTTAAGTTTATTAATTTTAAGTGAAGTATTAAAATTAATAAAATTACAACTAAATTTCTATCATATGTAATAATTTTTAGATCGTAAATTTGATTGCATTCACGGTTAGCTTCCAAAAATTAAATATTATTTTTAGGGCTATTATTTATACTAAGAAAACATTATTTGTAAAAAAATCGTTAGTTAGTAGTTAGGTACCTACTTATGATTTAAACCTATTAATTTTAGTAAAAAAAAAAATCGTTTGTCGTTCCCTGTCGTGCGGTGCAGTTTCGTTGTGTGTGATTTTTCTAGACAATTTTCAATATATTTCGAAGGTCAGCTTAATCTTTACAGTTTCTTAGTTTAGTTAGTTATTGTCGCGTCTGAAAACGGCCTTATGGATACACAATTATATACATAATTCAAACTCTTTTTATTTCATAAAAAAATCAATCATCACATCATGATCAACACACACACAATAGCAAAAATCTGTGTTTTGTCAAATAGTAAACAAATAAATTTAATAAAAATTAAACTGATATGCCTGTGCCGATCTACAACCGCCCGTTTCCTAGGGTTCGAGCTAAGGCTTCTCATAAGTGAGAAGAAAAGGGAAAAAAGGTCATGGTCACTCTTTTGCAATTTACCGATAGATACAATGGCATTATTAAATATTCCACAACATTGTTTTGATGTGTTCCAGTATGTTCGTTATTAAGGACTAAAAGGTAAAAAGACAATGAAGAGAAAACAATATTAAGAAAAAAAATCGAATAAAAGAGAAAATGAAGTGAAACATAAAAATAAAAAAATAAAAAATAAAAAAAACACACTAGCCCATACCACATTTTTCCTTAAGAAATAGCCTGCGCTAATTAATTCTAAGCATTTTTGTCTTCTATGTAATCAACAATTGAGAAATAGGCCTTCTGACACAATCCACGTTTTTTAGCGGATTTAAATTTGTTAATACTTAAGTCTTGAAAATTATTTGGGATTTTATTATAAAATCAGATACGACCTCGAATAGACTTGTTTGGAGCCTAGAGGCGGGTACTACAAGTGTATTCGTATTTATACTTATGGTATTTATTGACTGTACATCACTTCTTTCAAAAAGTTATCTTTGTTTTATGAACATATATCACATTTTAATATACTCGTATATATTGACATGCCACTGTCATTATGTTTATTTCTTTAAATTTCTGCCTCAATGAACAACGATTGCTTAAATTATAAGAGCTCGAATCGCTCTCTTTTATAGTACAAAAATAGTTTGAATGTGGGCAGCATTCCGCCACAGCAGAATACCGTACGAATATTCTTTAACATAATTATGAAACTGTTGACTTTCATTATAATTCCTCTCATCGTATAGCTGAATCGTTTAGTGAATAAGTATAATCTTTTTAGAAAAGATTATACATATTCACTAAATGTGGCGTTACTTTTAACCACTAGCGTTTTTGGTGTAAAATGGTATTAAATGTTGAATAAAAAGTTTAAAAAAAGCTATTATAATAAGTATTAGGGTTAATCTCTACATAGAGTACTGAATTGTTAAAAGCAGCTTTAAGTTTATCCTTAAAGTTTTCACAACGCTTTGCGGTTTTAGGTATCATCACAATACTTTTTTCTGCCACATTTTCATAGCTATCACAGAAAGATACTAACTGATTGATTATTTTCTTGTCCATAATTACTGAAAAGCTAAATTTTAACATTTGTTGTTAGTATATTATATGTACATGGAAAACTGTAATTGAGTTTGATACTCATAAATAGTATTTTTATAATTCAGATGCAATGCATTACATACGCACATAGTAACGTCTGAATGAATGCGACACACTGTTATGCACTTTTACTGATATGCGCATTTTTTTAAGTGTGGAAACCCCCTCGGGCCGACACCCCACCGGAGTTTGCGGAGCGGTGTGTCGTTATCGAACCGGCTAAAACCACACGGTTTGCCACTCCGCGCCTGAAACCGGAGGGATCCGAGAACAGCTGTTATTAAAACATCCGGACCACAAATATACTCACCTTAGCATCTAATTCATCACTTTCACCGTATTCGAAACTATCAGTCTGATGCATCATTGATTTTGTGATTTTTTTATTTTTGGTGACAAAAAAGTCACGGTCTCGCGTGCTTAACTCCTCAAAAGGAATCTGCCAGTTCCCCTGTTTTAAAAATAAGTTATTGAATTAATATCTGTACTATAATTGTATACGAGTACATTGCAATATTTATGAACGTGTTTTACCTTGAAGAAAATAGCGTTGACAAGAACAGCAGCAGTGGAAGGAGTAAGTGTCGAGGGGTTCACTAAGTCTTTAATGCGGTTATTTGTGTTAGCTTCGACCTGTAATGTGCAATCAATATAATTTTAAGGTTATTAGTATATATATTAGGAAATATTTTGAGTGTTATGATATTTGACTCCAGTGTGTTTTGCTCTGACACAGTTCTAATATTTAGATAAAGTAAATTACTGATATATTCGACTAACTTATATTATTGGGCAAAAATAAAACTGAAGGTACCAACCCACATATTTATTTCAGCAGCAGCTTCTGTTGACTTATTAAAATCTATATTTTGAACTTCTGAATTGAAAACAGTTCTTGAAATAGCAGCAAATTCCTGGTTTAAATTGTAACCATCGCGAACATATACTTTGTTTGCCTGCTTTAACTCAACACCTTTCACTGATTGTATTCTAGTATTCACATCAGAGAACACTTCTTTTGTCTAAAACATACCATAAAAGTCACAAGTATTGATAAGGTCATAAAATATTAATATTTTTTACACAGAAAGATACCGAGAACTAGGTCTGAGTACCGAGTTTGATAGAATGAGGTATTTCCAAGTAACTGCGGTTCTAATTCCTTTAGAATATTTTATGTGTTTTGCGTCCTTCACTATTAACGTTCAATTATTAAGTAATGAAATATGATAATATTTGCAAAAACCAAAAACAGAATAACATAATAACTCACCACGTTATCGTTGGGCATACCTATAGCTGTCAGAATCTCGTCATGAGTTTGTCCCACAGACGCTAAGGCTAGTTGTGCAAGAGGAGATAGAACCGAATATGCTGATATTACAAAACTTTTATCAGCTTGGTCTTTGGAAACTTCCTGAAAATAAAGTACATTTTGTTTTGAAGCATTAAGTAGCCAAGGTTTATTTCATTATTACATTAAATACTCATTTGAAGAAAGTCTGAAATAATATGACGAAACTAATTTATTACCTCCAAGAGCACATGCTACATGATTTTAATTTGCTGCCATAATTGTTCTTGTTCTAAAATGAAAGACTAAGATATTCTACTCAAAACAACAAAAATAGTAATAACTACTTACGTATAAGAAATTAGCCGAAAACTGGTCATTTCCATTTTTCAGAACGTCCTGTACATGTGATTCTGATTTCACTAGTGATGCCACGAGGGTCCATACTGTAGTTCGATAGATAGAGCATTATTTTTCTGATGATATTAGTTTTAGAACATTAAGAATACTTACTGTGGGAGAGCACAAAAGGGCCGGCCGGTCAGCTCGACCGAAGTGATAGATATCATGGCCTCACAGAAACGGGCTTGAAGCAATTTTTTGTTACTTTTCACTAAGTGAGTGAAGGTACCGGAGTTCAAACTCCCCCTCCTCCTTGTGACTCTTAAGATGCAGGTGTACATGGGCGGCGGTAGTTACTTAATATCAGGTGACTCGTCTGCTCGTTTGCCCGCTTAGAACATAAAAAAAAACAATCTTACGCTGAGCGCCGAGTCCATGCTAAGCACTACATGTACACTAAAAAGTATGCATATGGTAAATTATGTCCCTAGACCTTACCATATGCGGTTAAGGTATGAAATCTTACAATGACTACGTGTTAATAAATGAACACATACTAAGTATATATTTTGATATTTATCTAACCTCACAAGAAAGCTGTGCTCAATTCTAAATCAAATCTAAATTAAATCATATCAAGTTTCGTTTAAAATTATTTTAGTGTTTTTAGCGTGATACGTAGTCAAGACATACAAACAGATACAGATGAAAATAAAATAGTTTTGACTACTGTACCGCCAACAAAGCAGTCAAAACTCTTTACATTATGTTAAGTTGTTTTATATTGACAGATACTAAGTGCTTCCTACTACTAGAGATACTAAGTGCCTCTTACTACTAGAGATACTAAGTGCCTCCTTAAAATCATAAGTTATAATAATAATAATATATGTATAGTATTACGTATACAAGGTGTAAGGGACATCGTACCGAATACTGAAATGGTGTATTCAGACCATGATTCTGAGTAGAAAATCATTGAAATTTTCTACCGGAAAATTTATCTTTATCTAGTTATCGTAATTTAAGTATGTAATAATTCGTAAAAATTCGACTCGTAAAAATCTTTATGTACGTGATTAAAATATAGTTAATTAATATGAGGTTAGGCCATTGATCATTGAGAAGTAAATTTCATAACGTAGAAATATTAACTAGAATAAATTATTTTATTTAAAAAAGGAATATTAAAGTCTGTAATGGAAATATGTAGGTATAAAACAAAGTACCAAACCTTTTAAGCACAAATTTTAGTTAAAAATTTTATAATGTACCGATGTAACCAGTATGGGACTAATCCCACCCACACGCCCACCACTGTAACTCCAGTACACCAGGATCCACAGCAGTGACCCACGAACACACAGAGTTATGACACTCGGGAAGTCCCAGGAAGAAATTAAACTGTCTTGGAACCCGCAACGAAATTAATCAGAAGAAAATTGGAGGAGTTGGAAATACAGTAAATCCACTTCCCTCCTTAGCAAAGCGGGAGACAAAATGAAGTAAAATGGGCATACACCCTTTTAAACAGGGAAGCCATCCAAGAAACCAGTATGTTATTTGTTTTAAATATACAAATTTTATTAAAAAATAAGCTATAGAATGTGTTGTTGTTTTTAGGATTATTGAATGGACAAGAACCCGTTAAAAATAGTATAATAATATAAACATATTACATACTACATTATACATTTAAAACTCACTTAATAGATAAATCTTCATTTTCGTAGACGTAAACATGAAGACCCAGTACTTCACTATGAACTGAGCGACCGTGGATGTACTGTGAGTTTATATCTTCTTTAAATCATAACAAGTTTCGTAGAAGTGATTTTGTGTAAACAAAAAATGCTAAATATTCCCCTTTTTGCTCTGTTCACGAATAAGGAAAAACTTGTCAAGAGTTATTTCTTATTGACTGTTTGATATTTGTTTTGGTTTGCTGGCAGTTATGAAATTTATTTACATGTACTTAAATGTCTAGACTAACACACTTGTTCTGAATGTGTAACTATATATGAACGAGTACCGCTTGATCTGAAGTAAAACTTTTTGTACATATAACTAGATATATAATAACTTAAAAAGAGTAACAGGAGAAGTTGGAGCACGTTAAAGTTAATATTTACAAAATGTTGCAGTTAATTTTCGACAGAAAATAACACTTTTAAGTTTGCAACTTACCGACAGAGTTTGAAAAAGAGCACCACATTCACGACATTTGTTTACTGATTTGTACTTATGTGGGATTGGGGTATTCAATCCAAATATGGTTTTACGAAGTGGAGGTTGTAGGGCAGAATTTGAAAACGGGGACAATAGACAGAGAATCTAATGTTGATTCTCTTCAATTCTTCGGGTCGCTTCATATTATTTTAGCTTATTTAAAATTGAGTCAAGGAATTCCCTGCGGGCTTTTATTTAAAAAAATGAGATGCTTTTTCTGTAGGCAACTTCTTGTTTTGCTTTATCGAATGAGGAGGTTAAGAAAACGTTTTTGAATACGTTCTAATCGTAAACCATGTACTGTATAATGTGGACGCCAGACACAGTAACGTATTCTAGAATATTTCTTACAATACTGTTATATAGCTATATGTTAGAACACCAAACATTTTTTTATGTAAAATGTTGCCAAGATGAGACTATAATGGCTCGTACTGTCAAAAAGTTATTAGTTCCCATCTCTCGCCTTGGCAACATTTCACATAAAAATGTTGTTGGTGGGATTTCACTTCTTTTTGTAAGTTGCTTATGACTACAGGGGTTACACTGAAAGTTTTTAGAAAATAAAAAATGGAATGATCTAGAATATTTTTATTCTTTTTCGAAGTAGTTTTCCTTTCCGTGCTCAACACTGTGGCATGCGATGGAACTATTGACTGAAGCGGTAAAGCCCACCCTTCTTTAGGAATCTCAGAAACAATTTATATGTAGATGCCAGAAAAATCATTCATTTGCCAACATCTGCTAAGCTTGCTGATCTCTTTACCAAAAGTTTGTGCTCTGTGAAACATTATTATTTCTTGGATAAGTTAGGTGATCAACAGATTTAAATTTTTAACTGTTTTGTTTTTGCCTGTATTGTTTGCAATAGGAGTGTAGAAATATTATATCAAATATATCGTTTTGGCCATCTATGCTGTTGAATGTTATGCTATGTGCTATGTCTCGTTGTTTTGTTACATTATTATTAATAATAATGATTTACTTCTCTCATCATAAAGGTTCATATACATTTATACTAAGATATTATTAATACAGTATACTTTGTGTTACAGAATCAGGAAATTTATGACTCATCATCATCATTCATCATCATTTGTGAATTGTAACCTGGTTCAAGACAATATTGACGATATTGAAGTAAGTTACCGCGCTCAAGTGTCTACAGGCTGTTCAGTTTACGTAGATTGGTATTGGTATTGGTATTGGTTGATGGCTTCGGTTTCCGCATTTAGACTCAGAGTGGTCCTTTATGCGTCGAGGATTGGTTGACTAGGTGAGCCAACCAAGCTCCTTCCAGAAGCGCAGAAGATTCCTGGGGCGTTCACAGGCTTCTAGGAGCGACTTTGTATCAGGAATGATACTTGCCCGTTGTGTGGCCACTCCCTCGCATTCCAGGACTACGTGGACGGCCGTTTCTTCAGCTTCCAGACATCCCCTGCACAGGGGACTGTCCGTCGCATTGATTATGAATAGTTGTCGGTTCAGGGCTAGATGTCCTGTAATAGTTCCGACAACCGTTCTGATTTCCGGTCTGCTAAGACTGATCAGTCTGCAGGTGAGTCGTGGTGTGACTTGATTCAGCACCAGTTTGGACTGTCTGCAGCCGGGTGAGTTTTTCCACCTCTGGTTGTGTGCTTCAGAGGTCCGTTGCCTGACCCAGCATCGTATTTGGTTAAACGATATGGGCAGGAGTGGGGTTGGGCCAGAGGTTGGGGTTGCCGAGCCTCTCCTTGCCAACTCATCTGCGGCATCGTTCCCGTGTGAGTTACTGTGCCCTTTAATCCATTGGAGGATTACCCCATTGAATATAGCGAGCTGTTCCAGTGCTTGGTGGCATTCGAAGACAATACCAGAGGTCATTGTGTTGCCCTCCAATGCCTTTAAGACGGCCATGCTGTCGGATATTATTCGGATGTTGTAGTCCTTAATACCCCTTGACATGGCCGTTGTGGCAGCGTAAGTTATTGCCACACATTCACATTGAAATATGGAACTGTGTTGGCCTAACGCTAGTGATATGTTTTTGTTTAGGTCTTGCGAGAAAACTCCGGCTCCAGTTCCTGACCTAGTCTTGGAACCGTCCGTGTAAATTCGGACTTCGTTAATGCCGGATTGATCTCGGTCATTTCCATGTATCTGGATGTAGTATCTTCTTGTGAAGATATGGTGTTTTGGGATTCTATCGTTTGGCGCTGCTATCAGTGGTTCGTATTCCACCAATTGATCCCATAATTTAGAGTGCGATCCCCCACGTTTGTGCCATATTTACGATTAGTTTACGTAGGTATAAGTCTAACCTAGGGCTTAACTCGCCAAGACCCGTTTTGGAGGATTGGCTCGAGAGGCGTCACGGGACCCTCTCATACCGACTGACGCAGGTGATCACTGGGAAAGGATGTTTCGGGGATCACCTGTGTCTGATCCGCAAGGAGCCAACGCCTGAGTGCCACCACTGCGATGGCCAGACCGTGGACACGGCTTTCCACACGCTGGCAGAGTGCCCGGCGTGGGTTGAGCAGAGGCGAGACCTCGTGGCGGCCATCGGAGTGGGAGTTCTCTCGCTCGATAGCCTGATTGCGGCTATCGTGCGGAGCGAGAGTGCGTGGAACTCTGCCGTCTCCTTCTGCGAGCAAGTTATGCTCGCGAAGGAGACGGGGGAGCGGGACCGGGAGAGGTTTAGGACTCTCCCGGGCCGCCAGGACCTTTCCCAGAACGACCTCCGTCCTCCATAAGCGCAGGCCTGGGGGTGACAGGTGAGGCCATCTGTCACCCTAGCAGAAGCAGGCCGGGGTGGCGACGAGCGCGTTGCGAAGCGCGCTCGCTTCCAGGGAGTACACGGAACATGGGGTTCCCACACGGGGGGGGGGGGTCGTCTACTCGGCTGCAGATGACCCGAGGTATGTCGGGGCACCAGGGACTTCCTTTCTAGGGTATACCAGGTTCCCCAGCTATTAGTACCCGAGACGGCGTGCGGTTTTAGTCGGTTCGAGTCCGACATGCCACCGACAGGTGGTATCCGAGGGGATTCCCGCACGGAAAAAAAAGGGCTTAACTCGCCATTAACCAGAATGGCAAAGTCTTACAACGAACTTTCTCGTTTGTTAGATTTGGACATTTTTAAAGATAGTTTCCCTAATTTTAAGAAAAAACATTACAGACTATCTTGAATCTAAACTTGGGGGGAGCAAAAGTTTACCTAGGTTTGGATTTGAATAGTCCGTGATATGTGGTTTTGATAACAAAAAAACAATGGCTTTTTTCTTTACCTAATAGTTTTCATGGTCTTTTATATTTTTCTATTATTATGCCTTAATTTTTTTATTTAAGAATAATACAAGTTTTACTCATGTTTGTTGTGATTGCCTATAACTGAATGGGCACAAGTTTGTGTATATTATTGTAGAAATGTGTATCGTTTCCAAAATAATAAAAAGACGTGTGGCACTCGGGGACTGCCGCGGTAAAGCTATTGCATAGCATTTTGTATCAAGTTATGCAATTTCGTGACTTTCTTCATTAATAATAAATGCACTTTGTTCATACATATTCAAAACACTTTATACACAAATTTTACAAGTACAGCTATTCACTGTACATAAATACCTATACACCTATATACTTTCTCATAAACAGCTGCTTATGTATTCGTCCGATTTCGGAGCAGCTCGTCTCGATTCGTGCGAGCTTCGTAGAGTCGTACAATACGGCTAGTTGCACGCACACAAACACCGTGTCGAAGACTGCCGAAAAGAAACGACGTTAGACAATGCACGGCCGTGAGCGTGAGGTTTTTTTCGTTACGGAATTTCTGTATTCGGTCCCCGCGCTCAAGGCCCTCGATAGAAGCTATGCAATAGCTTAAAAAAAAAACTATCCTGATAATTGACTTTGTTATTTGTACAGAATTACCCCAAAGGTAGGCGGTTTTCTTAACTCTAAGATCATGGAATGTTTTAGCAATATCTCTATCGGTGATACAACTAAATCTAAACTCAGTATTACAAATGTTTATATTCTCTTTCAGTAAAGATTCTGCAATAGTGGGGGACGAATTCAATGATTCTGTTGTCGAAACTGTAATGTCTGAGAAAAAAATTCTCAAAAGCTGTGTTAACGTCTGAATCGGATTTAATTACTTGATTTTCAATTGTAACGCTTTAATTATTACATTTGTTTCTCGCTTTTCCAGTTTCTACATTAATTATGTCCCAGGTCATTCTAGTTTTATTTGAACTATTACTAATTTTAGATCTTAAATAATTAACATTTGCAGAATGACATACTATTTTGAATAAATTGGAATATCGCTTAACATATTCTCGAAATTCCATATTAGTGTTATAATTTCATTTATTATATTTATTTTCATTCTTCATAAAGCCTTATTCTCCTTTTATATAAATACCTACATACCGTGGCCCATTCACTGAAGGTTGTAGCTTCTTTAACTGACAACTTCTTAGGAGTAAAAGTGAGAACAAGTCATTTGCAAT